GTTTCCTTGAATTAACTCTAATTACTCTACCTGAGCGCGGTCTACTTGCACTGTGTTAGAAAAAGTAACATTTCAAAGTCCCTTACCTGGAGCTAAAGCAAGAGATAGTTTGTTTACTTTCTGGTAACAAATTACGAAATTAAAATCATTCTTTGTGGTGACAACAACCAGGCAGGAACATTCAAATTACTTCAGTGTCATAAATATTGATAAGTTCTATTATAAATGTAGTTATTAATAACTATTTAAAAGATATTTAGGATCAGGATGGCAAAAAAGGAAAAAGAATGACTGTATGAACACCATGTTTTCAGTTTCTCTGTGGTTTGACACCTTTGAAACAAAATGAACTTAAATGTTCTGGGGCAATATTGTCTTAAATAAAGTGTAAAATTGCATGACAGGATGTAATTTTTGGAATCTAACATACGTGTGTGTATAATGCAGATGAAAACTGCATTGTAAGGACATTTTAAAGAGACTGATACCTCTTTAAAGACTTGATGCCGATAGTGCAAAAAATGTTCACCATTCCTAAAAACAACAGGTTATTTTCTAATCCTACAAAAATATCCCATACAAAGGAGATCTGTACGATACCTTACTATAAGAGAGGCAAATACTTCATTAAACTAAAATGAAGTGCATTTGTGTGCTCATAATGTATGTGTGATCATAACTTCATTGTATTTGTTGGGTAAAGAGTTATGTTTTGCATTTAACATACAGTTTTGTAAATCTGAAATGTTCCTTAAGCTAAATCAGGCTTTTAAACATGAAATGGGAATAATTTTGGGGAACTTTTAAAAGAGCATCTTCCTAGGTAGCGAAGAGATGCCATCTTATAATTGAGAGAGAAAGGCACACAGGAACACAAACCAACCAGCCCTTCTGTGATGATTTTTGAGGCTTCACTAAATAGATAAAGTAGGTTGTTTATTAAACAGAAAAGTAGAGAAATGTTCAATAAGTAAGACTATTCTGCCTTTGCCAAATAAGCAGATGAGCATTTCGTATTCCGTGATAGTTGAGGCATTTGTGTTGAGTTTTAGTGTTTGGCATAGCGATATCCTGGATTGCAGCAATAACATTCAGAAAATCTTAGAATGCTCGATGCTCAAGAGGACAAAATGAAAATTAATGTTGTCACAGGAAGAGAGAGAATCTGAGTGATTAGAAGCCTGTGAGTTTGATACTGATCAACAAAAGCAAAGGGTGCACTGCTACAGGCAGAACTTGATTAATAAAGAGTTAAGGGACTAACGTAATTAATGTCAACCAACATGGAATTAACTTTGTGCAATTGACTTTAAGCCTTTTTTACAAGATTATAGTCTTGGCTGATAAAGATGGTAGAACTGATACAATATATGGTTGGCAGAAGTTTGACTTGTTACTGCATTACAATCTTAATTAAAAATAGGATGCCTGTAATTGTACTAGGCCTCATTAAATAGATTAAAAATGGGATAACTGATATATTTCAAAAGATAATTCTCACCATGTAGAGTTCTGCAGAAACTGTTATTGTCTCTAAGCTGTTTAACGTTGGTCTGATAAGCTTTGCGAATGACACAGAGATTTAAAGATTTGTAAATCAAAATATAATTGATCAGAAGTAACCTACTGATGAGGATTGCTTGGCAGACAATTTGAAGAAAAGGTATGCTTTTCATTGCAGCCAAATATAAAGAACTACTTTTAGAAACAAAAACAGTATAGGCCATGATTAGAGAATTGTTCTAGGAAGGCAGTGACTTGGGAAGTGGTGTAGGAATCACAGAGGACAGCGAGTTTCCAATGTGGGCAAAATACCTTATGTCAGCCACGGGTGCAGAACTGAAGAATATGAAATTAGAAAAGAGATATTGTAGTATGACAAGTGGTCAAATACTGTGGTCAAATCTGGACTCAGGCTCTCTGCGACTGTTGATAGAGAAGGTTCAGAGAAGAGCATGGAAAAGATTAAATGTCTGTTTGATAAGTTGATAGAGATTTAGCTTAGTAACGTGATATAAAAGAAACAGAAATGGATGAGGTAGAAGATTTGTCTTCTGCAAAGTGAGAGAGAACTCCTGCGTGTCATTGCTCTTGCTTATTCTTTTACCCCTGTGATCTTTGCACCTCACCTGGGCTGTGAGAGTGGAGAGAGCCATCTCACTTTCAGGTACAGAGCACCCTTAAAGCGTTCTTCCCGGCGGATTTGGCAGGTCTGACTTGCCTCCGGCTGCGGTGAGCCTAGAAGGCAAATCCACTTGCGTGAAACTAGAGATAAAGCGGTATAGCTGGTCAGAGAGGGAAACTTGTGTGGACTAGCCTTCAGAGTTGTTTAAAACAAATTTAGACTAAAACAATCAACGGGTAGAATTAAACCAAAGGGTGTCTTTGTCATAGTTGCCTGTCTTTTGAAGAAGTCTCATCTAAGTTGCGAGAACATCTCTTAACACAAGAAAATCCAGAGACAATATGAATATCCATACCTGAAGAGACACTTTGGTTGGATTTGGGATTTTATTCAATATTTAAAGAGGTGTGGAGAATCCTTCCCTCTCTGACACGTAAGTGGTGATCACCTGGCAGGGTTTTTGTCTCTGTCAACTTCACTATTTTCATAAAGCTTATAGGAGTTTGTGACTGAAATTAGCTTATAGGATCAAAGATTAGGAAAGAAATATGTATGGATAGTGTGATATGGTCTCAGATGATTCATTTCTGTAGGAAACCACCCTAAAAAGTATTTGCTGATGTCTCGCTCAGAATTTCAGAAGTTATTTTAAAGGTTTATACTTAATTTTTTTGTTCTTCTGTGCTGTTTTCTTGAAGACTGGGCCTAATTTGCAAAGTAACTTCTTTTTGAAATCAGACTATTTAAAAATCCTTTTGCATCTCAAAGAGATCGTGAATCTGAGGGAACATGAGACTGCTTTTGACAGAGCTTAGATAGTCTTGTTTCTTGAAAGGTTTTTAGATGGTAATCTGTTACAGGTTTACTGCAAGTTCAGTATAAAGGCCCTCTAGAAACAGGTAATTAGGAAGAATCCTTGCCACAAAACTAATCACTCAATAATTCTTTATCCTTAAATTTAAATTCAAGACGTTGATTTTTCCAAGCAATATGTAAACTCAGATACCTACGATTTCTCAGGCTGGATTCATTCTCTATCTGCTTCTCTTGCAGGACAAGCTGTAGGGAAGTAAGTTAATTTTTAATTTTAAAAGAATATAATTCCTTGGAGTGATGATGAGTAATGGGAAAGGTAGCATTATTCATCTGTTTCTGACTACAATACACAGCTTAGTTTGTGAGATGGAAAGGAAAGCGGTTACAAGAATCCGTACATTAAAATCAAATAATCATTTACTTGGAGACTAAAATGCTAATACCTACAATGACATGTTTCTGCTGTAAGATTTACCTCGCAGCACGGAAGCTTTTGGAATCCCATTCAGTCCATTTCAAAAAGAAATAAAAAAAGTTAGTCAGACTCTACAGAAACAAATGCAGAAAATGCAGTAATATTTTATTTAGCATTGAAGGAAGTTACAGCAAAACCAAACCCAAGTATTTGGGAGCTGGTCATATATCAGTTCATGTCACTGCATGTCATTGCACAGACATTGCTAGCAAAGACTGTTCATGTCTTGTGTAGATGCTGTCTTCAGTTTTATGTTATTTTATTTGCAAAGCCTAATACTGGGTCTGTCAACCACCATGAGGGTACAAAAGCAGATATGAAAGGGGTTTTTCGCAAGTACCAAGTAAATATTCAGCATCTTATTGTCCATCTAACTCGATCTGATTAATGTCTTTAAGAAGATATTGATGGATTTTAGTCCTCTGAAAGCTCGTACAAAGTATACTGTAGTCTCACTGACTCCCGCTGATTAATTGACTCTCATTAGCAGTAATAGTCTTGCCCTGCTGAAATATTACACCTATATTAGTAAGGGAAATAACGAGGCCTCTCCCTGGCTGTCATCTTTATGATCACAAGTCCTATAAAAAATGATCTATTTCACAGTAAAATTATAGAGTGGAATGAATGTGTGAAAATAGTTCCAATATCATGTTTTTATGATTCTTCAAAGGGTTAAACATAGTTTTTGGTTTCAAATGAGTTCTAAGCATTTAAAAAAAGATTTCTCTGGAGTCTCCGGTAATTTCTGCGACTTCTGTTCTCCTGACTTACCAGTGCTATTTTACCAGAATTAAGAAATTGACAATATCATTTGTTTACGGTATTTCAAATGTGAAGAATTGCCTTCAGGCCATTGTGTTAGTGGTTTTACATTCCTTCCTGCTGTGTTAAGTCTAATGAGGCTTGTCTGTCCTTTAGGTGACCTACAGGAGGGATCTGTATGCAGCTGAATCGATTATTAAGGGTATGTGCTCGTCCTTGTGGCTGTCGGTTTGCATATTCCTGAGTTTAATTAGGAATCTTGTGTGCTATAGTTTTAAATGTCCTTAAGAAAAGTTTTATGATGAATAAAATGTGCTTAGGCAAGTTGTTTTAGCTTGTTGGCTGGAATGCTTATATTTTGCATTATTTACCTTTATTTACTTCTCTTAGAATAGAGAACCTTGTAAAAAGCTGTGTGTATTACAGAGTCAAACAGAGATTAAACTGAATGGCTTTATAAGGAATAAACAAATTTTTTCTTTCGTTTGCAGTTCAATTCTGAATGTTTCATCTTTCTAAACTAAGTAGTAGACTGAAAATTAAACATTAACTCTTTAGGGCTCTTCAGTCTTTTACATTCAGCCACTTGTTACCTAAATTGATATAGCAATTATGTGATATTGAGGTATTCCATTAATTTATAAATACTTTTCTGAACTGGTTTTTAACCTTTTCCTGTACTGGTAATGATGGTTTCATAGCAGTTTAACAAAAAGACTAGATTTAGTCTTTACCTAGATTGACTCAATCTAAAAACAATGTGGAAAGGAAGAACTCTTAAGTGCTGTCTAAGGAGCACACTGATGGTTATTGTAAACAGATAGGCACTGATTCAGGGGACTCCTGCTTGACTCCTTGTTGGGAACTGAGGGGTTAAAGCCCAGAAACTGATGAAGATAAAGGGGCCTCCCTTTGGATTAAAAATGTCTTTCCAGAGAAAAGACTATGGTTCCCATTTAAGAAAAACAGAACAAACGCTTAGGGAATGGTGAGTGACTGGCTGGTTGTTCACTTTGGTGGCTCCTGTGGTGTTGCAAGATCCAGTATTGGCTTAGCTTCTGGTTTGGGTAAATCAGACCGTGCCAAGATCAGCTCTGTCACTGCAGACAAGGTAGAAAGCTTAAGCAGAGCTCAGATATCGCTGTGGTGTTCTGCATGCTGCTTCTCTAGACCTCCAGGAACACAACAAGTTTGGTTTCTGGTTATTACAGTGGGCAAATATTGCATATTATATGCATTGCTAGAACCACCTGACTGAATTCTTCAGGCATGTATCAAGGAGGTAGGGCAGGGAATCCTTGCAAGTTCTGGTTTTGACAGGGAATGGGCTCTCATCTCCATAGCTGGAGGCCTGAAATTTTTGAAAATCTTGTTTTGAGTAGGATTCTTAGAGGTTCCATACTCGTAGCTTTCAAGCTCAGGATTTGCAAACGTAATAAAGACAAGAAGGTGGCTGGGAGTTGTTGGCATGGATTTACAAAGGGGAAATGATGCTTGACCGACCTGATAGCCTTCTACGATGAAATGGCTAGCTTGGTGGATGCTTATGCCTCCTTCCCCACATATCCCCGTCATTCCAGAGCAGCTTTTGGGAAGGTGGGCACTGAGTCGTCACACTTCTTGTGGGGAAACTAGAAACATGAAAAAATTGTTTCTGTGCTCTCATCCTTATAAAGGTGACTCCTTGTATTCTTTAAATCAGTGCTATCCTTTCTTCGTTATAGATTATTTAAAAGAAAAACAAGTAGATTGGTAATATTCTGAAACGTTTTGCTTAAAAATATTTTGATAGTATTTTTTGCTAATTTTATGTAACACATACACACTGTTACTTCATACAAAAATTTGCAAGCGTGAAACAATACTGCAGCCTTCATGCAAGTGCATTTCCATGTTCCTGTGTATATAAGGGCTTCAATAATCTCCTAAATCATTAAAGAAGATTAGTTGTAATTTATTTAAAAAATAAGATCCATTCCAAACAGCTTTCTTTAAAACTGTTTGAGTAGAAAATGAGGATGCAGCTTATTCAAACAAAAGGAACATTCACGAAGTTTAACTATTTCTATTTATAACTGGAGGAAAAATGCTGTAAGTGACCAGTCATTCTCTTCGTAGATACATATTTTACACGTGTATGTCATCATGTTATCACGTTTTTTGTTTTCACTGAAACCAATACAGTCTTTTCCAGCTGTTGGTTATGATAAAGAGTTTATATAGCTTAAAGTAAAAATGAAGACCTTCATGGTGGTAAATCAGGCTAATCCCTGACTTGGTCTTCACTTATCTAATGTCCTGTTCCCTTGCAGGCTGCCACAGCATCTGCTTCAGTAACCACAGCAGTCTGTAGGATGCCTGGTTGGTATGAAAAACTGTGCTTTAAGTTCATTGAAGTTTAGATTTCATTCTTGCTGCATTGCATGAGTTCAGGAAGGGGAAGCCATGCATGTTCTTTACTCCTTATGCAAGCTGTATAATGAGTCCTTCATAACTAATTAGGACACCCCATAACAGTTTTATCTTACATAATTAATTATCTTTAATGGGATTTTGACTAGACACTGTTAGCACTCCAAGTCTGCAGTTTGAGAGTTGTGCCTTATCTTTTCTGTGCCCTTCAAAAGGCTTCAAATACCAGATCTTCAAGTTGATATAATATGACTTATTTTTGTAGTGGACAGTTGAGCCGTGTAAGTTAATATTAGGCAAGCATTTTATTCACAGTTCGTGCCACACCTAAAGGAGAGCATGCTTAAGGGTAGAAAATATTTTTGTCTTATTGAGTAATTGACTGTATCACAGTGTCTGCGTTTCTCGAGAGTTCACAGCCTGCTACGTGGTGCTATATGAGGTGCTCCTGCTTGTCGTTACCCTCCTGTGCTTTCTCCCACAACTTCCGTAGCTGTCTGCTGTGCGGTAGCTACTCGCTGCTGTTCGTGAGCTTTGGTGCCATGGACCTGCTAGTGTCATGGAAGTGTGTCATGGGGCTGGACAGAGAAACAACCACTGGAAGAAAGTGGCCTGCAGTGTTTCTTCTCATGGTTTCAGTAACAGTCTCTGGAGAGAGGAAGGATCTTCTGCTGATTCTGGTCGGTTTAGAGATACAAACTGGGCTAGTGGAAGTCCCCAGCGTACTCGTGTGCTGTTCATGGCTCGCATGAGACCTGCATGGCTGTGGATTTTCAGGTGCTGTTCCATCTTACAGGCGTCTTCAGGAATGGGTTTTCTGGGTATCTACCTCCTCTTTTTGCTTTCCTTCCCTTTACGTTTTCCTTCTTTGGGAGGATGATGAGATGCCAGGAACACCAGAAAGGCATATTATGGCAAGAACACCTGCCATCCCATGTGGAATTTACTCTCTTTTGCCTTGTTAAAAACCCCCTTTCTTTTATTTTTGCTTAGCACTGGCTGCTACTGTGTGCATGTTGTCAAGGTCCTCTGGAGGCGTCCCAGAAGCCAACTGTATGGGCTGGGAGGGTGTAGGGTGCGAAGGGCACTGGCCTCACACCAGCTCCCCGCTACTGCTCCAGTCTTCGCAACTGATTTCTTTATTATTAAGTGATCCAATTTACTTTGCTGGATGCACATTTTGTTACTAGATGAATTCAGCAGCGATGGAGAACTTTTGGGTGTACACATTTAATTTTGTGTCTACAGCTCCAAATTTCGTGTCATCTACAGTTATGTTTATTAGTGACCAAAACTTGGCTTCCTTCAGCTTCAGAGAATGACAGTTGTCTTTTCTGTTAACCTGCTAGTTTTAGTTAGAAAATCCATTTAAGCTATACTATAAATATTTGTTTTGATGAGCATTATTCATCCAACTGTTCCTTGTCTAGTTTCAGAGTTTTTTTGCTTTGAATTATGAACTTCAACAAATCTTTAAATATTTCAGTTTTTATGCTAGAATATTGCACTTGTGCTTCTAGACAGTTTTACTAAGGAACAGGTTCCTTGTGGTTCAGTTCAACATGTTATCCTGGTTTTGACTGGAATAGCGTTAATTTTCTTCCTAGTAGCTGGTACAGTGCTGTGTGTTAAATTTGGTGTGAGAATAATGCTGGTAACACACTGATTGCTAAGTAGTGCTTATCCTAAGTCAAGGATTTTAGTTTCCCACACTCTGCCAGCAAGCAAGCAAGGGTATGAGAAGCTGGGAGGGAGCATGGCCAGGACAGCTGACCCCAAATGTCCAAAGGGCTATTCCATACCCTGTAACGTCATGCCCAGTATATAAACTGGGGGGAGCTGGCTGGGGGGCGGGGTGTGGATCACTGCTCGGACATCAGTCAGTGGGTGGTGAGCAATTGTGTTTAGCATCACTTATCTTTTCTTGGGCTTTATTTCCCTCTCTCTTTTTTACTATATTTCTTTTAATTACAATTATTATTTATTCTTATTGTTATTATATTTTATTTTACTTCTTAAACTCTTCTTTTCTTAACCCACAAGTTTTACTTTTTTTTTTCCAATTCTCCTCCCCACTCCCAGCGGCTGCATGGTGCTTAGTTGCTGGCTGGGATTAAACCACGACAGATGTTATTTTGCTATCCTGTTTATTTTTGAGGTACTCTTGCATTTCTGTCTGTTGTCCATATATTAAATTATAATTCTGTGATTAAATTAAATACAAGAAAAATTATTATGGTAATATGTGTTTGGCAATTAAATGATGTCTGAAAAAAATACAGTTAATCATGTGAGTATAATTAAGAGACTGTTTCTTTAGTCAGCTGTATTACAAAAGTAATTCTACCGAAGTAACAAGTCCCAATGTTTCCAGGAAGCACAGCTAGATTTTTAACTGCTGGCCTAACAAGAGGTAATAACTGACAAATTTCATCTTGCTAAACTTGACTGAGGTGGCAGTAAGAAAGACGTACACGCACACATACATTTTTGTACTTTAGATATTTGTATGTATATATATCATTCATATTCAAGGCAATACCAAGAAACACTTCACTAATGTAAATAGACTGATGAGTTATTTATCTTTGGAGACTGTTTTCTTAAAACATGTCTAATTAATTTGCTTACTTCCTCAAGTCTCTCTTACAGCTGTATAATGAAAGTCCGACTCCTGACATCGTTTGTTTTATCAACAGTAAATTTAATGCTTTTCTTTAGTTAAGCAGGTATGAACTTGTAGAGTATGCAGACGAGGTGGCACACGCCTATTTTTAATAGTCTTGAAGTAAGAAAACATCATCTTACAATAAAGGTGACTCATCTAGAAATGTAGTTAAGCTCAGGCTAATACAAAACATCCTAAAAAATTTCCATTAGGACTAGTGCCCTCAGGGTAGGTATCTGTGAGCTCTAGTTCCAACATGTAAACTTTAAATGGTGCTTCTCAGTGGAAGTTTCTAACTTAAAGTTTGACTGAGTCTGCTCCTTTTTCTTTTCTTAAGGGCCCATCTTCTGCAATGACTTTTTCACAAGAGCATGCACTTGCAGATTGGCTATTTTGCCTCATGTTTGGCTGAACAAGTCTCTGCTGATGTAGATACAATTTTGTTTTGGAAGTGCCAAGAAGACTATCTTAATGCCTTCAAACTGTAACTGTTGGGAGCTACGTGCTGTTTTGTGTCATATGAAGAACCCACATGACTTTTTATTTAAAAAATAAATACATGTTGACATAAGCCTTGTTTAGCAAAGGACAGATACCTTACTCGAGGCAGGCTGCGTTTTCGTGGGCACACTCATTAACCAGTGGCTGTTCTCTGCTGTGTGGCAAAGAAATAGGCTGGCAGGCAGGGAGGTACTCCTCGGGATAGTTATTGTCAGACAAAAACAACCCTCTTCCTTGTCTTCTGCCACAAAATCTTCCTCTTTTTCTTGTATACTAATATTGGTAGGGGCAGTGTCAAGTTTGGCTTTTGGTTTTTGTGGCTACAGAGAAATGTGAAATGGGTAAACAGAAAATTGTTAGATATTTTTGGTTACCTATATTATACAAATAACAATTTCAGCTTACTCTGTTGAGCATGAATGAACTAAGTGCTTGGCAGTACTTATTTCATTTCTCTAGTGTTTACAGTGGTAGAAACATCTTTGTTATGAGACATTAAAAATGCCACGGAGAACCTTACTGAATTTCCAGACCAGTCAAGCCATTGCTGTGTAGAAAGTGAAAATGGAAATATGATAAATTAATTTACTATTTTGAATTCACTGAAAACTTCAAAAGTATTTTGATGCATGGAATGTGCTTCCAAAATAGTAGGAATTGTACTGACAGACCAAGAATGGCGTGGTATGAACGTATGTTTACAAAAACAAGTGTATGTATACACGTATATATGCAATTAAGACAAAAAATGTATGTCTGTAGGCTAAAACCTATTTGCCATTCAGATGCATTTTTATTCTTATGGTATTAATTCCCTAGGATATGATATTTATGATCTTATTCAAAGTATTATTTTAATTGCTGCTTGTTTGTGGCATGTTTTTCAGGGTAAACTTCTAAGTCGTTTGTCAGAGTACACTTAATGTATTTTCTAACTAAGGTAGTTCCATAAACAGACGCACATTTTAATTTCTAATTTTGGGTGAGATCCTAGGATAAAGACTGTATCAGGTGCCACTGAATAATAGTGTGATCTAAAGCTTTCAGGATATCAAAGAAGGACACAGAAAATTGAAAATTAAGTTTTCTGCTGGAGAGAGAAGGAGGTTTAATGGAACAAATTCCGAAATCCTGTATCAAGTTTATCTTTAATGAAGAAAATCCCCACCCCTTTCCTGATACAGAAATTTACTGTTTAACCTAATAGAATTTGGCAGTGTGAAGTTTTAACTATTTTTAATTTTATGAAAAAAACATACTCTTGAGTGGACGTTAAATGTGATGCAGTATGGGGACTGTTAATCCATAATAGGTACAGCTGGAAAGAAGCTGAGAGTAAATGGGAAATGTGTATTGGGAAGATGAGGTTTCCAGGGAAATAACAAGTTTAAAGTAGAGTAAGAGGAAGGCAAAGCAAGAGAAAGATGTTGATAGGTAATGTGGGAGAGAGAGAAAAAAATTAATAGATGGGCAGATGAAAAGTAAGGTACGGCGTTAAAGGTAGGGAAGAAAAGTAGAGCAGTGGTGCATGGTGGGAGGACAAGAGGTAACAGGCAACAACTGAACCAAGGGAAGTTCCGACTCAATAAAAGGAAAAACTCTTTCACCATGAGGACAATCACACAGTGAACAGGTTGCCCAAAGAGGTTGTGCACTCTTTGTGCTCCAAGGTTTTCAAGTGCCAGGAGGGTAGGGGGCTGAGCAACCAGGCCTGACCTCATGGGTGATCCTGCTTTGAGCAGGAGTTTGGACTGGTCACCTCCTGAAGTCCCGTCCAGCCTGAGTTATCCAGCGCTCCAGTGAAAACCAAAGTTTTCTTAGCTGAGTCTTAAAATTCTTTGTGACATGGCCATGACATGGTTTTCCAGAATGACTCCTTCATTCCCCCAAACAGACTTCTGAAAACCAGGAATGAAGTGCCGCACGTGGTTAGCTTTCCTGGCAGCCAGCAGTACTCATGAAATCCGTGGAGTCAGGGGCCAGCGCTCCAGCTCCGCTCACGGGCTTCAGCGGGATTACGCTGCGTGACAGAGCTCCATCAGCTACCAGGGGTGGGACACAGGCAGCCTTGGCGAGGAAGGCGCCGCTCAGCCTTCCTTCCCACAGTACAGCAAAGGTGCAGACCATTAAATTAACATGTAGATCTCTCTTGGCCACTTGAAATAGTTGGGATTTAAATGGAAATTGAATTTTAAAGCTCAACTAGAACAGAACTGTTGCTTTGCTATAAGGGTTTTATAAACGATGATTTCCCAGACTTCCTTTATTCACTTTTCGTGATCATTTAAAAGCATCCAGCATCCTTTCAATGTATATATTATCATGACTTTAATTTTTTCATACTTTATTAATAGACTTTCCCCCTATAACATTGCATTCCTCCCAGATTAAAAATAGAATTTTTCACACTTCATTCAATTTTGCTTTCTTCTTTAATAAAGTCAATTAGTCACTTTGTTTTGGTAGTTGTCTCCATTCTCATTGACCTTACAGGAAGTCAGAGGTTTAAGGGGGCTGGGGAGAGGAGTGAGATGGGCTTTTATCGTTGCGGTCTTTGAGCAGCCTCTTGTGAGGTTACTTTTGACACTTGCTGTTGATAACTGACTTCTTCTTAAAAAGAACTGTCTGAGCGTAAGTTATGGTGCCCTTTTTGGATTCCACAGCCTTCTTCCACATGTGGATTTTTGTAATAGCTCCAATCTGACCTTCTTCATTAAATTACTTAGTTCAATAGAATCCGAGTTCTTGAAATCCGATATGCCGGTCTGGTTTATTGTGTGCATCTATCTTGTATCTGCAGTGGATCCGCATTCCCTGTACAGTTCTACATTCAAGTGGCTCTTGCTCTGATTTCAATCTACCCACCGGTTTCTTTCTGCTAATAAGAAATTAATTCAATATGGTTTCCCATTGACCCAGTTTTTAGACTGTAATTTTTTCTGCATTAAGTAGAAGGCAACTTTGGGGCAAGTTCAGTTTATATTTTTGCCCAGTGAATCTATGGGAAGACAATTTCTCCCACAGTTGTGGTATCCTGTGATCTCCAGTCCTGTGAGCACTGGCCATGCTTTTCTTTAATTCTCACTTTCATCTAGTTGTGATGGTTTATAAGCAGATGTTTATTGTTCTCTCTCCCTCCTCCCCATTGTTGCTAACTTAATACAAAGCCAGTTGCTACCACTGTTTTTGTTGTCACATTATAAATATTGGACGGAATAAAAGCCCATGATTCATAAAATCATTGTAATTACCTTTTGGGATCCTCAGTGGTTAATTCACTTTTCCTGCTCACAAAAAAATGTTTAAAAATCACAAGTCGCTTTACAATGATGTTAACTCTGCAGCAGCTTTAAAATTAATTTTCAGGTCTGTGTATCTATTTTTGTAGAGAAGTCTTTGAGTTTACAATAGAAAGTGTGATGTTTACTTAAGTGACGCATCTGATTGAACTTATTGTGTGGTATGTAATTATAAAAAGAACTTTCCACATGCAACAAATATGTATCTTTATATTCAGACTTGTTTGAAGAGCAGTTAGGCCATATTTTTATAATTTCTTTTATGTCTTTCACTACTAATTTATTTTGTGGTGGTGTTTGATATATTTCTGTCCCTGAAGATTCATTGAAGTCTGCTTTAAACATAATTAGACTTTACATTTATGAAATTTCTAGCTGCTTATAGAATGGCTACCCCAAAGACATAGGAAATCTTATGTTTTGGTCTGCATATTAATTCAACATCTAAAGGATAAAATCCTGAATTTAGAAGCAAGAGTTCCAGACTTGAATTATTTTTATTTGTTTGCTTAAAAAAAGGAAAATGCTCACTGAATCTTGAAATTGTAGTCAATAACAAGAGAAAATACTAATTTTCTGAAATATTTGCTTTATGGAGCAGATCAGGCAATAATTTGAAACTATTGTTCTTGGTATCAACAAAATGTTATATTCTTTTCCCCCACCAGTAAAAGATCTATGGAGTTCCCCATGCCAAGATCTTTGTCACTGACTCTGCAACTTTTTTGGTATTGAGGTGAACAGTTATACCTGCTGTCCCCCCGAATAGAACCTTTAATACTTTTTTTTTTACTATTATGTAGTATACATTGTTGGGAAGAGGATTTATGCTATCCCCTGGGTTGTTTTTTCTTTTCTCAGTATTGCTGACACTGCATTTAGTAATCTGTTGAAGTGATAAGTGGTATGAATTTTTCAAAAAGTTATGTACTTGATTGTCACCTAATGTCAAATAAACAAATACTTTTTCTTAGAAGTCCCTTATTTCAATGGGCTTTGGGGACAGGCCTTATGTGATGTTTTCACGTTGTACAAAATCATATAAATTATAATATGAATTTTATATTTGAGGTATATGTTATATAAATTATGTAGTTATATTAACTGTGCATTGAAATAAGTAGTCTTAGAATTAATTTACAGCTGTTGGAAAGGCTCTGTCTAAAGACAGCGGTATGTGGATTGAAGGTAATGTTTAGCAGATTCGTAATTTTGGTTGATTTACCGTTGCATGAAATACTAAGGTATTTTTTTTGATCACAGACAACCTCTCTCAACGAGTTTGTGTTATTACCGATGTGAAGGAAGCTGTTGCACAAGTAGGTTTTCTCCTTCATGAATCTCTGAAAAGCCAAATAAAAGTAAGTAAGTACAACTCTGGCTGTAAACTGTACGATTAATTTAATGTTTCTGGCTGTCACAACTCATAAGAAATGGTCTAAATAATATGAATAGAGAAACTGAGACCTCCTGTGTCACTGCAGTATTTATTACAAGGGATTAACACCAGGTGTGGAAGTTGCCAGGAAAGAAGTGTCTTCTGCGCAGTTGTGCTGTAGAGGGGGATCTTGCAGATCCTGTTAAAATGTATAAATTAGATTAGAGAAGAAATTGGATCCAGACAACACAGAGGCCATTTTCTTTATGTTTTATGAACTCAGTAAGCCCAAATTGTTACAAATATGTTACAGAGGAAATACTTTTGTTACTTTGAAATCTGATTTAAAGTCTGAACCAATTAAAGAGTAAGTTGTGTTCCTGCGGAGCTGCGAATGCAAAGTCAAATTAATGAGCCTTTTCGCAGAGAGATAGGGGTAGAGTTCACTCATAATGAGTGCTTATTGAAGCCATTGCTGTAGGATATTGATGGAATTTTCTACTGGCATTTAACTGTCTTTTCATTATTCCTACTAATAGCACTATCACATATTTTAATTTTCCCAAAGGCAATTAACATTTGGTAATTGCTTAAATCATGACTGATCTTGGGCTGATTCTTAATTATATCTTATGTGATGATATCACGTCTTTCTGTTACTCAGAGAAAGAGACAAGGAATAGCTGTTCATAAGTACAGGTTTCCTGACTTGCATGTTACTTCTGTAATGGTTTTGTTCATGTCTGGTGATCTTCTGCATTGTGTGCTTAGTTTCTTCTGTAGCAAACTGTATTGCTGTGTTATATCTAGGAACGTTATTTCAAATTGCACTTAGATTTTATGTTTGGAGAGAATTGTGTTTAGTATGGAAAATCATGCTTTGTTTCAATTAAATGTCTACATTTAAAAGCACAAAACTTTAGTAGAGTTGAATGAGATCTTTTCTCATCTGAATAGCTGTATAATGGAGCAGTAGGTTTCCATTTCACTGATACCAGATCCATTGCTATTTTCCCTTTTTTCTCTCTGTTTAAGCTATTCTGCGGTTACTAGGAAGACGTCACATACCCATATTAGGAAAAAAATAGTTCTTTAATGTTATCTATATCTATGTATTATGTTTGCAGATAACCACTTCAATCATACCATGAGAAACACTTCCAAGCCAGTAAGAAAAGTCAAAGAATGCATTATGTTTGAACAGCTAACACTGTGACTCCAAACTGAGCAACCTTCAAATCAGACTGGCACCAAAACTAGTTAAAATTTAGAACGTTTCCAAATTTTCGTTGCAAAACCAGTTAGTTGTTGGGTTGGTCAGGCACCTGAACCTATGGTACATTTGAATAAAACATGTGCAAAATGACCACAAACAAGGCAATGAGGATATAAAAGGAAGGGACTCCTTCTGTCCTCCTGATAGAGGACTGAATTATTTTCATGGCTCTATTAAATCAGTTTTAGTTGATGGTTTCTAGCACTGTTCTCTTTTTTTTTTTTTTTTTTTTTTTTTGATCCATGTTGTCTTTCTTCATAGTGAAGTTGATTGTTAAATTTCTCTTCAAGACTTTCAAAACATTCCTGCAAAGTGACACCTGCCAAGGAACTCCAGCAAGATCTGTGTCTTTTATTGTTCCTTGAAACATCCTTAGTCGTTCATTTTATGAACCCTTAAATTGAAAATTTATAAAAACTAATATTTTTGTATTGAGTGTCTTGTTCTTAAACAGTAGAATCTCTGAGTTAATTTTTAAGCTTACTGCTTTACAGAACTTCTAAATTTGAAGCACCTTAGAATGAATATATCCACTGCCCTATGATTTCTCAAGTGAAGCACAGTAACCTTGTGTGAGAGAGATTTGACTCTGTACAACATGAGAATTATTTTAAGTGAGTTGAACATGCCACACTGAAAGCTGGGCCTTTTCAAAGGGCTAATTGGAGGGTAATTGATCTAAATAAGACATTAATTGGGAATTGTTCAGTAGAGTGCATACTATCTGAAATGTAAGCTATAGTCAATATTTTAACGTTTTAGATAGTTTTGACAGTCTAGTTCCCAGTAGCAGCCATATTTACTTTTAAGGTGATCATGAAAGAAGAATTCAAAATAAATGTTCGTAGAGGTATTTCTGAGAGACTCCAGTAACATGATAATGCCAATAAGAGGGGGAAAAAAGACCTAAAAATTGAACTAATGAGATAAAGAAAATGAAAATAAAAGCTTTTCTAAAAAAAAATAATAAAATATTAAGGCAGCAGATATTGCTTGCTGAGTACTTTAAGAGTATTTTATTCAGCGTTACTGTAAACTATAACTAATAAATGAATGTTTTGCAGAAGATACCTGACTGTGAAAGATGTAAATTGAGTCTTTCCTTCAGTTTGTTATTTAGCCCGTTCTTTTGAAGCAAGCAAACCTAAATGGGGGCTGAAGGAGCTTTCTTCTGTGACTGGAAATTATGTACTTCTGCTTATTCAGTGACAAGGTGCTCCTGTCCCATGAGATGTAATCAGTTGGATGAAGTTGTGTGTTATTTTTGCGGCTGGATAAATATCCACAAGCAGTATATCAGAATATTTGGTGGTTTTCAATTAGGAAATGAACTAGTGTTCTAGTAAGAGAAATTCACTAATTTCTTAACCATTGCATTGTCCATCTGCTGCATTGGTATTAACTGTGATTTTAAATCCTGATAGAATTTAACTGACTTTTACAGATTCCCAATGTCCTGCTGCTGTTTTTTGGTTTTATGAAAGTGGATGTTGAATATAGTTGAAACTTCAGCACAGGGTGGGCATCTGATAAGTAGGAAAACATTAAAGAAAACACATTTATTATTCCTATCTTCACATTCATAAAACCTTGCCATCTCTGCTTTTGTATACTAGCTGAATATCAATTGCTACAATGACCAGGAGCCAGTAAGTAAATCCCTATTTTTTTTTCTAGTTAAACACCAAAACATTGTGACAAACACTTTTTACTGAGGTGGTTTTTTTAGATAATTTTTGCTCTCTCAAGTAGCTGATAACTTTGATTAATATTAATTTTAATTTAAAAAATACTTTTGTTAGGAAAATAGCAAGCCAAATAGAATATGAATTAGTTTTAGTTAATTGATGTATTGACACTTCTAGTCAGGCAGCTGTGCTTACTTTTCCAAGAGAGAAAGCTGATTTGATTTTTGCTGGATAATGTGGCTGTAAAACAAAGGCAAAGTGTACTGCTTTGTCAAATTGTTCAAGTTAAATCAAAACTCTGATACACTAAATTAATTTTTAAATGTTCAGGAATACTTAAGCATCATGCATTGTAATATCTCAAGGAAAAAAAAAGGGAGTAGGCTTTCTCCCTTGAGTTATGTTCTGTTTACCTTTTGAAAGACCCTGGCATGCAGTATGCTTCTGTTCATCTCAGTATGTCCAAGGTTGTAAAGGTACTGGGGATTTCTGATTTTACTTCTGTAGAAGTTCAAGCCAGGAGAGACCTGGAGTATTGTGTTTTTGAAGTATTTTAAGTAATTCTTGGCTTCTGTGATTTTTTTTTTTTTAAAATCTCTTTAAAATATTAAATGTCAACTGTTTGGGGCTGTGTTATCAAATTTTCAGCGCAAAATGTTTCTAAAATCTTTAATGCGTAAATATCAACTTTTGGGTTTCAAACCACCTTCCTTTGCAAACAAGTTAGCTCCCCAGGTATTACAAAAATAAACAAATACAGCTTTAGATAACAGTGCAAAGCCTTTTTTAATGTTGTATTTGTACTTCTGTTGGATTGTGGATTGAGTGACATTTTGAGGGAACAGAGCAGTCTACTGCTTCTGTTGTTTGCTGCTATATATAATATGTCTTCTGGGCAGAAATAAAGCTTATGTGAGCAGTGGAACAGTGAGCTTTGCTGGTTTAATAGAAGCAACGGGAAGATTTTGCCTTACTTTCAAAGGTTTGTTATTGGCTTCAAAGTGTTATCTTCTCTTAGGGAACCAATTCCCCTTCCCTGGTTTGCTGGGTTACTTAAGGCAATCCTGAAGCTGATAATGTAGTAGAATCTACTTTTTAATTTTAATTAGGATAAGACAATGTCGTAGCTGGTGTTATAGTTGAAATAAGTATGTCTGTGATTAAGACAGTACTCACTGAGGAAATTATTTTTGGGAGAAATTCTAGATGAGTGTTGTCACATGCAGAATCCTAGAGTACCTGTGCACCTGGTCTTTCATGTGTGCTTCTTCATTTATTTTATTTTTAGTTGCATGAAGACAAAATATATATGTATTTGAATATTGCAGAGATTTTTCTCCAGTTAGCGGTCTAAAATCATTAGATCGTCTTGGTCCTATGAGCAGCGTTTCCATCTCTGGGAACAGTTGAGCATCCTAACCCAGGCAGCAGCACTGGTGGCTGATGCTTCCAGGGCTGTGTCTGGAACGGCTGCCCCTAGCAGGAAGCCACAACCTGCAGAAAACTCTGCGGGCTGTTGGACTCCCTGCTTCACTGTTGAGTCACTGAACAATTTGAGGAATTTTTAATTCTCATAGTAGAAATAATAATTGTTGGGTTTAAATCCTTAGAATGATCAAACTCTGCCATAATGGTGGAAGCTTTAGCAGATAGTTATTTAGCGGATACGTCGAACTTGTGACATAGTAATATTTTTTGTTTTCTAATCAGGTTGAAGCTATATCAATATCTCCAAGCAAAAATGATAGCCTTCTACAAAACATGTTTTCAGGACAGTGCTACAATTTTGTTCATGTAAATGTAAGTAGTAAGGATGCATGCTTCTGGTTTTGTACTTAAAATAATGACACAGTTGAATAATAAGTTGTTATTTCTGACCTCTTGGTATATCCATTGCGATGTTTGGTGTTTCTGATGTGCACCAAACTAGAACTTTGAGATACTGGTCCGTCCTTTCTTTCTTTCCTGGTTCTGCACTTCCACCAGTATATTCTTAAACCGGCCATGAGTTCTTGACTAAGAAGGGTGCAACTGAAAGTAGTTAAAAAATTCATTTCCTAGATATTGTATTGAAGTGTATTGTCTCCAGAAGAGATAGATAGTATGGGTAGTCATCAGGGTGTGCATTACTCTTGTGATCTAGGTTACTGTTTCCCGTTTTGGACACATTCATGTCGTGCAATCTATAGTTGAGTCCCTGTATGGGAACAGAAGGGTTTTAGATGAACTGTATCTGAGACCAATCAAGACCCTTGAGCTTGTTTTATATA